CAGCTCTCCCGCGAGGTCCAAGGACCATCGGAATCCCAACCCGCAAATCGGCAGTGAATGCAGTTCTGCTTTGGCCTGCGTTAAGTTTGCTTTGCTCCTCTGACACGCCTCACACCCCTCCACCCACTCTTTCACTTGCTTGCGCATCCCTTCCCACCACCAGCCTGTCTTCAGCAGGTGTACAGTCCTCTCATACCCGAAGTGTCCCAGCTTCGTGTGCACCTCCTTGATCACTGCTTCACGGTCCGTGGGTGCAGGCACTAGCTTCCACCCGTCCTCTGTCTTGATCTGCAGCTGCCGCTGATACCACCTGTAGTGGTGCCCCCGTGCCCGCACTCTTTCTGACACTGTCTCGTCTTCCTCTGTTTCTCCTTTCACCCACCGCATTGCCTTCTCGTCCTGCCAGATGTCGGCTGGTCCCTTGCTCCCCTTGGCTCCGACCTCTTCCGCTTCTCTCGCCAGCATGATCAAGGTGTGTGCTGGCTCCAGCTCCGTCCCTTCCGTCCCCTGTGTTCTCTGTCCTGATTCCAGCGGTGGTGGGTTGCGAGAGAGACCGTCGACGTGCTGCAGCGTCTTCCCCGGCCTATGCCTGATCTGGAAATCATATTCTTGCAGCTTCACTGCCCACCTTGCGTTTCTTCCCGTCAGCCCTGGTGTGGTCATCAGCCAAGTGAGGGGCTGATGGTCAGTGACCAGTGTGAACTCGCGGCCCTGCAGGTACACCCTGAAATGCCCCACCGCCCACACGGCCGCCAGCCCCTCCCCTATGTATGAGCTATACTGCGCCTCTGCGGGGTTGCAGCTCCTGCTGGCGTAGGCTACCACTTTTTCCACTCCCTCCACTTCCTGGCACAGGATTGCCCCCATCCCCTGGCTGCTCCAATCGGTGTAGAGGACGAAGGGCTGGTCTGCTGCTGGCAGCCGCAGCACGGTTGCTGTCTTCACGGCTGTCATGAGGTCTTGCAGTGCTTCCCTCTGCTGTTCTCCCCACTCCCATACCTTGTCCTCTCGCAGCATCCCGTTCAGCACTGCCGCCCGCTTACTGAAGTTAGGCACGAAGCGCCTGTAGTAGCTGAGGAAGCCCAAGACTGCGCGCAGCCCTGTCTTGTCCCTGGGTTCCCTCAGCCTGTCCAGCACCTGCACCTTTGCTTGCTGAATCCCGATCTGTCCTCCTGTCACTTCATACCCCAGGTACTGCACTGTCCGCTCCCCCCACCTGCACTTGTTGGGATGACAGGTGAGCCCTGCCTCCTCTATTGCACTCAGGGTCCGCTCCACGTCCTCAAGGTGCTGCTGCTCTGTCTGGCTGAAGATGACCACATCATCAATGTAGCATGCTGCATGTTCAATCCCCCGCAGCACCGCATCCATAACTCTCTGAAACACTGCCGAGGCATTCCGCAGGCCAAAGGGCATGTATAACCACTCATACAGCCCGTCCGGTCCGTGGAAGGCTGTCTTCTTCACATCTTCCTCTCTGATTTTTATCTGATTGAATCCCTGGCGCAGGTCCAGCGTCGTGAAGTATACTCCGTCGGCCAGCTTGTCGAAGAGTTCTTCCGCCATTGGCATGGGGTACCTATCCGGCACGGTGATCTTGTTAAGATCTCTGTAATCACCGCACATTCTGCGGCTCAGCACCTCGCCTGTCAAATCCTTCCTGGCTGCCACCACGGTCGGGGTTGCGTACTCTGACTCTGACCTTCTGATCAGTCCTGCTTCCAGCAACTCCTGTACTTTCTCCTTGCAGATCGCCTCATCCCCTGGTGGCATCTTTCTTCTGCGATGGAACACCGGCTCTTCACTGTTCAGCTTCAATGCCATCTCCTTGATCTTGCACTTCCCCAACTCCTGCAGGGTGAAAGCGAAGCCTTTCCTGTGCTTGACCAGTAGTGCCAGCATCGCTGTCTTCCCTCCCTCGCTCATGCTCTCTCCTATCTTCCACTCAGGCTCTGCTGTTGGCAGGCAGGTCCACACCCCTTGTCTCACCGTTGCCTCTGTATTTTCTCCCTCCTTCAGTCCCCAGTGCAGCACCGTTTCTCTCCACATCCGCTGCACCAACCACCTCATCACGTATCCATCCATTGCATTCCCCATCGCCCGCCTCCTTTCCTGCTCTGTCACGCCCGGGGCTGCTGTGATGTTCTCCTTGTACCCCATAGCCAGCTCCCTCTCCAGGGCCGTGGGCTCTTCCCATCTTCCCTTCCTATGATCGAGCACTAGTCCTGGGCCTGGCTGCTTCCCCTTCATCTGGTACCCTGCTGCCCCTTCATATGACACGAGCGTCGGCAGTGCTTGCCTCTCTTGCCCCACTGTGTTGCAAGGGTAATGTCGGCTGTAGCTCCTCTTGCTTACTGGTGCTGGTGTTCGCCCAGGCTCGAGTATATCGCTCAGCTTCCGCCCCCCTGCTCTTCTCACCCCCTCTATCTCCCTCTGCAGGTCTTCTGCTGGCACCACGTTTTGCCAATACATTCTGAGCCTGTGTGAGTAGGCTCCCATCCGTGTTGCGTCGCAGCTTACCCCTTTTCCCACCTGTCTGGTCACTCGCTCCCTTACCAGCCGTATGGGCTCACGCACATCTCCTTCCATGTCTAAATGCTCCAGCAGGTACGCCACCCTGCCTTGTTGAGCCTGCAGCCATTCCATCACTCTGAACAAGTCCTCCATCAGCTGTGTTCGCAGGTCTTGCTCACCCTTGCCTTTCCCAGCCCATGATACCCCTTGGCACTCCCACCCAGCCACTAACAGGTCCACGTGCCCCCAGCTTGCCACCTCAGCTTCTGTGATGGCCCTGACGTCGTTGACTCCTCTGCTCATTGCTGCCCTGATCACCTCTTCCTTCAACAGCTCCGGGAACTCGCTGTGCAGCTGCCATGCATGATGCTCCGCCATTTTCCTTGCTTCTGCCGCCTTCTCTACGTAAATCCACTGCTTCACTGCTATCCCGTTCCGTACCACCGCTGCCAAACCCGCCCCTATGCCCCCGAAGAGTTCCACCAGGCGGATAGGTTGCTGCCAATCGGATTGTTGGCTGGGCTCGTCCATGAAGTGCATCCTCGGCTGTCCACCCTGTTCCTTGTTCCTCGCGGTCTCCTGTGCCCCCTGCTTCGCTGCCCCCTCCTTCAGATCCGCCCTGTAAGCCCGCTTTGGCTCTGTCTTGACGAACTGCACCGGCAGCTGTCCCAGTGGCTCACCCTTCTTCCACCACCTGGTTCTGAATTCTACCCTCTCCTTCCAAAAGCAGATGGTCATGCCCAGTGCAAAGATCATCTTTGTGCCCACCAAAACGTCGAAATCTTCAGATTCTGAGATCCCACACCTGATCCTCACCGGTGTTTCGTGCTTCTCTCCTTTGAGCACCGTCAGTTCTATTGGAGTCCTTGTGCATGGCATCCACTTTGACTCTCCTCCCTCTGCTGTCATCACCAGCATTCCCTTCACTACATGTCTGTCCGGCGCCCACAGTCCCAGTTTTTCTGCCATTCCCCTCCCTAGTATCACGCTCTGCGCGCCCGTGTCTATAATAGCCGTCTTCGCCTTCTCCCCTTCCACTGACAGCGCACCTCCTTGTATCAGCAGCACTGAAGTCTGGCACGCCAGCCGCTCCTGTGGATGCCGTGCCGCTGTACACCTCTCTTCCTTCTCCTCCGGTTTCTGTCCTCTCTCTCGCTCCTTCCTTACCTGGTCCTTCCGTGCATCCTTTCCTCCGCTGCGTAGCCCCATCTCCTCCCTTCCTCTCCATGCCATGTATGCTGGCTGCTCCTCGTGTTCCACCTCATCCTTCGCTTTGCCTGCCCAGCTCATGAAAGCGGCCTCCTCATCTTGCTCTACATCCTCTTCCTTTTCCTTCCCCGCGTACATCCCCGCTTCTGCCTCGCGTCGTGGTCCCATTGCCTGCAGCTGAGCCTGCAGCCTGCCAATCTGCTTTTCCAGGTCCTCTGGTGTCCTCTTCGCCGCTCCTTCCCGCTGATAACACTCCCTTGCTGCATGCCCTCCCTTCCCACAGATTTCGCACTTCGGAGCTGTTGGGCATTCCCGCCGCCGGTGCCCTGGCTTACCACAGGAGTCGCAGTTCTTGCAGTCTCTGCGCAGGTGCCCTGGCTGCCCGCATCGGTGGCACGTTCGTGCGTCAGTCCTGCTATCCCCTCTTCCCCCTGCCCTTTCCTTTTCCTCTGGTATCATGGCTGCTGCCCATGTAGGTCCTCTGCCACGCTCCGCTGGTCGTTGCCGGTAGGCTTCAAGCTTCCTCTGGGCCATCTCCATCTTCTCAGCTAGCTCAAACACTTCATCAAGTGTCACTTCAGCCCCCATCTCATATACTTTCAGCCTCAGCCCGCTTCCCAAGGTACCCTCCAGGCCGTCCAGGAACTTGCTCACAAGCAGGCCCATGTCCGCACAGCTCACGTCCTCCGCTATGTTGACCAGCCGATTGTAGTAGGTGAGTAGTGACTCTCCCCGCCCCTTCCTAAAGTCTTGAAACTCTCTGATCTTCTCTGCAGTGTGGCCAAGGAACTGCCGCTTCAGCCGCCTCAGAAATTCTTCGGTTGGGTCCTCCCCATACCTTCCTGCCCTCTCCAGTAGCTCATTCATCTTCATCCTGTATAACGTTTCTGCCTCCCCCTCCAGTGTGTTTGGCAGGCTCAGAAAGAAGTCCACTGCATCCATGCCGCCCCTCTCGCATCTGTACCGCACGTTGCCCACTTGCATGAGATAATTCTTCAGTGTGGGCCCCAATCGCTGGTCCCCAGAGAAGCGTGCTGGTACTTCCACCCTTGTGACCATGGCTGTACTTCCCTTTCCTTCTCCCCACGCCTCACTATATCTCTCTGCTGTCCTGCCTGCCGTTCCCCTCTCTCCCGCCCGCCGTATTCCCTCCCTCGCCTCTCTGGCTCGCTCCAGGCTGTCCATCAGCCCGCTGCCTCCCACTCTGCTGCTGCGCAGATCTTGTCCTCCTTCGCCGGCACGCCTCTCGTCATGTTGCCGATAACGCTCTGGCGAACATGCCCCACCGCTTTGCCTTATATCCCTGCTCCGCTGCCGCGGTGGCGAGCGATGTCTGCCCCCGTGACTCTCCTCAAGCTGCTGCCGCCAATCCGGCGAGCGCGCCTCGCCTCTCCACCCTCCTCCAGGATACCGTTGCGCGTCAGGCGAGCGCTGGACATCTCTGCTCCTCCCATCATGATAGCGCTGCAGATCTGGTGAGCGTGAGCCCCTCTCGCTCCTCCCGCCGTGATACCTCCGCGGATCTGGTGAACGCGTGCTGTCTCCGCGCTCCTCCCCACGACGCTGCCGTGGATCTGGCAAGTGGTGACCACTTCCGCGCATTTCGTCGTGCCACTGCCGCACATCAGTCGAGCGATAGCCGCCGTCGCGCCTGTCCTCACGCTGCTGCCGCGAATCTGGCGAGCGGTTGCCGCCGTCACGTCTGTCCTCGCGCTGCCGCCGCGGATCTGGCGAGCGGTAGCCGCCGCCGCGCCTCTCGTCACGCCGCAGCCGCGGATCTGGCGAGCGATGGTCGCCGCCGCGCCTCTCGTCACGCTGCAGCCGCGGATCTGGCGAGCGATGGTCGCCGCCACGCCTCTCGTCACGCTGCCGCCGCGGATCTGGCGAGCGATGGTCGCCGCCGCGCCTCTCGTCACGCTGCAGCCGCGGATCTGGCGAGCGATGCCCGCCGTTGCGCCTCTTGTCTTGCTGCAGCCGCGGATCTGACGCATGCCTCTCGCCACCATGATTCTGGTCGTGGTGCTGATGGGGGGTCGGCGAGCGCGATCCACGGCTACGCCTCTTGTCGTCGTTGCCTTCTTCACCACGCGTCTGGTTCCGCGCACCATCCTTCCCGCCTATTTCTGCCGCGCCTGGCGCAGCCTCCTCGCTCGCCAGCATCGGACTGGCTTCCTTGACTTCGGCGTGCATATCGCGCTGCTCGCCCGCGCCTTCCTCATGGGCCTCGTCATCGCCCTTCGCTTCACTCTCGAGATCCATTTCCTGCGGCTTCTCCGCCATATCGACCTCGCCCTCCCCATCCACATCGAGATCTCCTTGCCGACCAGAGAATAGCTCCTCCAGGCCACGCCCGCGACTGCGATCTTCGCGACGGCGGTAACCTTCGTCCGGCGAGCGATACGCTCCCGTGTCGTGGCGATGTCCGCATTCGCCACCAGCCCCGTGGTGCGTATCCGTCCGCCACGGGTCACTTCCCATCCTGACGGACTCGGATCCGCCTCTTCCTTTGCGCTCTGCACCTTCTTCACGGCGATCTGGCGCGAGAGGGACCAGATCGGCGCGAAAAGCCGGCCTCCGCGGCGAGCGCTCAGGCCTCCGCGGCGAGCGGTCAGGCCTCCGCGGCGACCTCTCTAGCGAACGCCCGCGCTCTCGTGAGCGCTCCCGCCGCGAGCGATCTCCCTCACGACGATCGTACTTCCTGCCATAACGCAACTCGTGCACATCCATGCTTGCACGCGCACCTTTCTGTTTGTTATGAAAGAGTGGTAACTCTCACCTCAAAGGTCCTCTCTGAGTGGTGTGCCACCTGTAGGCAAATCTGAGGTAACAACTGTCCACTATACGAAAGGATAACAAACAGAAAGCATTGTGTGTGTGTGTGAGAGTGAACTTACCTGTCCCTGGCTCGAGCCGTGCATTTCTCAATGTGCGGCTTGAGCCTGGGTTGGGTTTGTTCCCATTGGTTGCGAGGATTTCACCCCCTGGTGTTCTCCTACCAACTTCGCGTCAATTTCCCAGCCTCCCACCTACCCATCCTTGAGCCTGCATACAACAAATACAACACATTACTACACCCTTTCTACACCACAATCATACTGGCACCTTATATGCACAAACGTACATATTCGGTGACACTGCCCCCCATCTTCTTTGGCCATTTGCGGTTCGGTACGCGGCGCATCAGATCAACCTTCACCCCAGGGTCTCCATGCTCGAGACCTCCCCAGCTTTGCTGTGGACGGGGAAGGTAGGCGATGCATCTGCGTTCCGTGTCTGGGGATCTCGGGCGTTTGTCCGCGACTTGTCTGCGGACAAGCTGTTCCCTCGTGCTGCTCCTTGCGTCTTCCTTGGCTTCCCCCCTGACGCGCCAGGGTGGCAGTTCTACCACCCCACCTCTCGTCGTGTTCTGTCCTCCCAGGACGTCACGTTTGATGAGTCGGTCCCCTACTACCGCCTCTTCCCCTACCGCACTCCGTCCCTCCCCCCGCCACCGCTCTTCCTTGTGCAAGGTCCCCCCCCGGTAGACCCCCTCCCCCCTCAGGGTCCTGCCCCTTCAGGTGTGTCCCAGGTAGACGCAGTCTAGCCTGTCGAGGTTACTGGTGACTCTGGTGCAGCTGAGGGTGCTGAGCCTGGGGGTGCTGACTCTGGGGGTGCTGAGCGTGTGGGTGCTACGCCTGGGGGTGCTGAGCCTGAGGGTGCTACTACTGGGGGTGCTGAGTTTGGGGGTGCTGAGCCTGGGGGTGCTACGCCTGGGGGTGCTGAGCCTGGGGGTGCTGAGCCTGGGGGTGCTACGCGTGGAGGTACTGAGCCTGGGGGTGCGGAGCCTGAGGGAGCTGGGCCTGTTGGTGCTGTGCCTGGCGGTTCTCCGGGTGCTTCGTCTTGCCGAGAGCCACTCTCTCCACAGGAGCTGCGTGAGTGGTTTGCCCGGCGCTGGAGGCTAGCTGCTGGAGCTGGAGGTGCTGCGGGTACTGGAGGTGCTGAGGGAGCTGGTGCCACGGGTCTCAGAGGTACTCGTACTGGGAGTACTGGAGCTGCTGGGCCTGCGGGTACTTCTAGAGCTGGAGCTGCTGCGGGTGTTGGCGCGGAGGCTACTGCTGTCGGTCCTGGAGGCGGTCCTGTTGGGGGTACTACTGGTGCTGCTGGAGGTACTGGAGCTGGAGCTGCTACTGGTGCTGGTGCTGCCACTGGGGGGGCTGGTGCTGTCCCTACTGTGTCTGGAGTCGCCGTGTGGCCTCGGTCGTACTTCGTTCCGCTCCTTCAGCAGGTTCTTGGTTTCCCATCTTCTACTGGTCCTCCTCCTCCCTTAGAGTGTACACAGCCTGTCCCGTCGCAGTTACAGTTACAGCCGGCCTCCCCACTGCCTGCTCTGTCTCCCTACACTGGTCCTACTGGAGGTCTTGCTGAGCGTCTTGAGCCTGCGTCTCGCCCTGCGTCGCCTGTCCGTGCTGCTCGCACTAGTGGTCGCGGTTCGCGTCAGCGTCCTCCTCCTGTCCCTGGCACGCACCGGATGTCTTTGCGTCCGTCCACTGCTCCTCTGCGTGCCCCTTTGCCTTCTCCTCCTGAGTCTTCTCTTCCTGCTCTTGCCGACCCGGAGTCGGACTCTCTTCGTGCTGCCAGTCCTACTGTCACGCGTCTCCTTGCTACTGTCGTCACTGAACCTTTTTTTGAGTCCGCTGCTGCGTCTGCCTTAGTTGCTGAGCTCATCGACTTTGCTGCTCGCTGTCGTCTTGACTACGCTGCTAGTCTTGTCGCTGAGTCTGAGTCTGTCTGCCCTCCGTCCGTCGGGGGTGAGTGTCCCCTTAGGACGGACGTCCTTGAGGACAAGCAGGAGGAGTTCCAGTGTCTGGGTGCTGCTTCACCTCATCTCGTGTCCGTACTACTTACCCCTGAGGGAGACCCGGATGCACTTGACATCCCGACTCCACGCTCTTACGCGGATGCCGTAGAGGGTCCCTACTCCTCTCAGTGGCAGGCAGCTATGGATGCAGAGATGGCTTCCTGGAAGTCCACAAGCACCTACGTTGACGCGGTTCCCCCACCTGGGGCGAACATCGTCAGTGGCATGTGGATTTTCAGGGTGAAGCGGCCGCCAGGTTCTCCACCTTTCTTCAAGGTGCAGTACTTGGCTCGTGGCTTCAGTCAGCGGCAGGGAGTTGACTACTTTCAGACCTTCTCTCCCACCCCGAAGATGACCACTCTTCGGGTGCTGCTGCACATAGCCGCTCAGCGCGACTACTAGCTTCACTCTCTTGACTTCAGCACTGCTTTCTTGCAGGGTATCCTGCACGAGGAGATCTGGCTGCGCCGCCCACCTGGCTTCACTGGGAATTTTCCTCCTGGCACCGAGTGGAGCCTCCGGCGGCCAGTCTACGGTCTCCGCCAGGCACCGCGTGAGTGGCACGACACACTGAGGACTACACTTGCGGCTCTTGGGTTTGCTCCCTCTACTGCCGACCCGTCGCTGTTTCTGCGCACCGACACCTCTTTGCCGCCGTTCTACATCCTCGTGTACGTCGACGACTTGGTCTTTGCCACAGCTGACACTGCTGGACTCGCCCACGTGAAGTCCGAGCTGCAGAAGAGACACACGTGCACAGACCTGGGTGAACTGCGCAGTTACCTTGGCTTGCAGATCACCCGGGACAGAGCACGCTGCACCATTACCCTGACTCAGTCACACATGGTGCAGCAGGTCCTTCAGCGCTTCGGCTTCACGTACTCCTCGCCTCAGGCCACTCCTCTGCCTACTCGCCACTCGCTCTCAGCTCTGCCTTCGGATGAGTCCGTAGAGTCGAGTGGCCTGTACCCAGAGCTTGTTGGCTGCCTCATGTACCTGATGACCTGCACACGACCTGACCTTGCATACCCTCTTAGCATTCTTGCACGCTATGCTGATCCTGGGAGACACAGACCGGAGCACATGGCTGCAGCGAAGAGGGTGTTGCGCTACTTGTGCAGTACGTCGGGCATGGGGCTAGTGCTTGGAGGGCAGAGTCCAGTGGTCCTCACTGGGCACGCGGGCGCTTCTTGGGCTGACGACCAGGCTACACAGCGGTCGTCACAGGGTTACACCTTCAGCTTTGGTTCCGGCTCTGTTTCGTGGCGGGCTACTCGCTCGTCTTCCGTTCTCGGCTCCAGTTGTGAGGCTGAGATCTACGCAGGAGCCATGGCTGCTCAGGAGCTTCGCTGGCTCACCTACCTGCTGACTGACCTCGGAGAGCCGCCTCGTTCTCCTCCAGTGCTGTACGTAGACAACAAGGCCATGTTGGAATTGTGTCGGGAGCAGCGCCTGGAGCACAGAACGAAGCACATTGCTCTCGGCTACTTTCGTGCTCGTGAGCTGCAGCAGCGTGGTCAATTGCGACTTGCGTACGTGGCCTTTGAGGCCAACACTGCTGATATCTTCACCAAGGCACTTGCGCCTTGTGATCATCAGCGCTTCTGTACTCAGCTTGGTCTTGTGCCTGCCTTGCCTCACTTGCTCACTTCTTGACCTTGCTTGTACTGTCACATATATATACTCCTGCTCTTGCTTGTTTAGCCTTTTACATATATATGTGCTCCTGCATGTGAACTGGCCTTCTGGCCTTGAACTTGTGCTCGGAATGTGTGGTGACTTTGTGATCCACCCTGAGCTTGCTTTGCTTTGCTTGACTGGTCTTGTGACCCCTTGTTCTCCCCCACTTTGCCTATGGGGGTGTGTCAAATTATAATGTTGTGTAGGCTGTTGTGGGGTAGCCTTTATGGGGTACACAATGCTAGGGTTGCTTACTTGTATTACTTTCATTCCTTATTCATTCATTCTCGTTTCAGTTTTCACACGACAAGAGGTGCTCCCGGGATGTTCGACAGTACTTAGGGATTCCGCTAAAGGTTTCGACAAAGCACATTGAAAAACTTTGCCCCTACACTTTCATATTTTTGTTGAAACAGTACTGCATTACTTTCTGTCGAACAGGGAAACTCATTCGATAAGGTTCCGATTTCACAGTCGGGAAAACAAAATTTCCGAGACGTTGTTTGATGAAATTGATTATCGACAGCAGAAGCCGTTTCTAGATTTTGGCAAGTCAGCATCTGCATTCGACGCGGAAATTGTCAAGCTGCGCATTATCCCCATTCGTCAAAACGAAATATTTCGACAGACAGAGCAAAGCGGTCGAGAAGTTTATTTGAATTGACCAAGCATATCTATCGCCGCCTGCACCCTGTTTCACTTCTCTTTGTAGCATTGAGACTCACAATCACATAACTAATCAACAATGCTCGAGTTTTACTATACGTTAATACATATCGTGAACGTGGACAATCGACACAAGCAATGTTATTGTTGC